CTTCCTTCCTTCCTTCCTTCCTTCCTTCCTTCCTTCCTTCCTTCCTTTCCTTCCTTTCCTTCCTTCCTTTCCCTCCTTCCATCCAAACTCTCTGATCTACAAGGGGAGGGAAGACCAAAAAAAAACATGCTAGGCCCAGGTCTCAATGTCATAAATTTGAATGGCAGTTGGTAAACAAGGGCTACTGGTATTTTTATATTCATTAATCATACAATGGCATGATTTTTATAAGGAATTCGTGGAAGGAGCAGGAAAATAAATTCTGCTGGACAGGCCTGGTCATTCTCTTTTTATTACACAATAAAACCAAATTCAAGAGGTGCCAGCAAGCAGAGCAAAATATGGCAATCAACATTTGGTAAAACTGAAGCTGGAGCTACTATGTGGGTCAAGATTCAGTCTCACAATCCAATGGAAACCTGACCTATTTGCAAACTGACCATAAAGTTGTCTTTACCGTCTTACTCTGTGGACCACAGCTAAGAACACACCGACTGTCAAGCTCAAAGCCATTGGTGCAGTTGTACATCCCTTCAAAGACTGGTGGGGGCGGTTTACAAACCACAGGAACACAGCTCCCTTCCTCCCAGAAGCCAGTTTCAAGGCAGTGAATATTCAAAAATGTTCTGGGGATTTAAAAAACAAAAGAGGAAGTGGTTACATCATTGCAACTCTGTATCAAAACAGTTCCCAAAATTAAGCCAATCTCAGTATTTTGTGATGACTTTTGGAATTCATATTCCAGTCTTCTGTTGATCAAATACTAAAAATTATCCTGTTTAGTCCACCTTCTCCTCCCCTCTGCTATCTAGACCAGTGGTCACCAACCGGTGGGCCGCGGCCCACTGGTGGGCCATGAGAAAATTTTGGTGGGCCACAGAGAAATCTCACCCCCAGAGCACTCCCCCCAAAGCAATTAATCCAGACTGCACAGAAACACAAGGCTGCTCAGCCCACATGGCCCGCGGGAACCCTCCCCGCCCACTCACTCCTTACCCAGCAAACTTGTCTGCTAAGTTGCTATTTTTCCTTTTTCCGACCATCACCTGTTCTGCTGTGTCGGGAGATTTAGATTAGCTAGGAAACAGGAAATGGTTGGATTTCTTGCTTTCCAGCTAAGCACAGCCAAACCTCTCTTAGGACTGAAGGTTTGCTTGCAAGAAAATTCAGTGCAGACTCACGGCAAGCAAATTTGAGAGACTGAGCTAGCCAATGGCAGATAGATAGATCACTGAATGATTCTGTGAGCAACTCAATCTGCCTGCTTTGCCTGATGGATAAAAGTTGCTTTTTTTTAATAAAAAATTCAATATTTACATACATGGTGTGTTGTGAGTTAATTTTGTGAGTTTGCTTGCAAGCAAATTTTATGTGACAGACTGAGCTAGCCAATGGCAGACAGATAGATTTCTGAATGAATCTGTGATTCTGTGAGCAACTCAATCTGCCTGCCTGCTTTGCCTGATTTTGGGTAAAAGTTGCTCTTCTTTTTATAAAAAAATTCAATATTTATATAAGTATTTATAATATTTACATACAAGCCATGCCCAGCCAGTCACATGACCACCAAGCCACACCCACAAATTAGGCCACACCCACAGAACTAGTTAGTGGTCCCTGGGTTCTAAAATTATGAGTTTGGTGGTCCCTGAGGTCCAAAAGGTTGGCGACCCCTGATCTAGACAGGTTACTTCAGGCAGGTAGACAAAAATATCTTAGAATCAGCATCTTGGGCCCCTCCTTAGTAAATTCTTTCCTGTGGTTTTTCTGTTTTTTTCAGCTCTATTAAGAAATTACACAGCCTCCAAGGATATGTTCTGAACATGGCTGTTTATTTCTGGAAGACACTGCTGTACTGCCACACCATAACCATCTGAACAGCCTATTTATTTAGCATATTTTTATTCCACACTTCATTTGCAAAGCACAGGTCTCTTCTGATAACCAAGGTTATTTTTCCACATTTGTAAGAATAAGCTCTCTGAGTAAACAGCAACTGGAGAATTTGGAACATGTCTTTGCATTGCAGCCCTGCTATATTTTGATGGAAAATATAAATCAGCATGCTTATCAAACTCCATAGGTGCACAGCACACGTTTTTAGACATTTTGATATAAGTAATAGCATGCTATCATAAAGTATATAGGAGTGACAGGAATGACGTTAAGAACTTCTCTTGAAAAATGAACTTTATTAGTAAAATAAATAAAAGTTTATTTGCAAGGTGACTTAAGTCTTAGCCAAAAAAATAAAAGAAAGGAAGGAGTCGATGTACTAGAAATAGTTGCATGCTGATGCTTCAACGGTCTGCAAAAAGATGAAGCAAGAAACATGGGAAATTAGAAAGCAGTGAGAAAAGAAAGAAAAAATGGTAATGGAACATGAGCAAGATACCACAATTGTCTACTTCCTTGTGATTCATTTGAAAACATACCACAGAGAGGGAAAACAAGGATATTTAGCATGTGAAGGCATCTAAGTAGCAGCACAATGGAAGCACAAATTGGTGCTGGCAAAGATCTACCAGGCAGGGAGCACTGGAAGACTTGAATACCCAAACTGAGCATTCCAAGACTCAGTCAGACTCAGTGTCAGCCAGTGAGGCTATTATCCTAAAATCACACTGAGTTCAGAGCTCCATGATCTGTTTATGTGCTAAAAAATAATAATAATTGAAAAGTCTTTCAAAACTTGGGTGAAAAAAAAATGGTCTACTTTCTCTGAATAGTAGGGAAACTTTGCCCTCCTTCCCAATAACTTATTGAAAGGTCATGCAAGACTTTTATGCTCTCAGTAGCAAAAATAATACAAAAAATTAAGATGCCAATTATAGTAGGATGTGAGAAAAAATGGTTTAGTTCTACAAAGAGATTTTAGGCTGGCATAAAAAAAGATAACCTGAAGCATAAACTTTTGGCAAGTCTCTGGAGCTGATGTCAAATTTGATCCATAATGTAATGTTTAATGTAACTGCAAAGAGACATCAAGTACATAGAAACATTAAAATTAAATAAGCTTTAATTCAATCCAGCTCTTTTTAGGACTGAAAACTCTTAGTATGTCACTCAGAAGCACAAAACAATGTATCAGAAAAAATGCTAATCTTTCATTGGCACTTGGAAATTAGCAAACCAACAATGTCTTGTTAACTTGAATTTTATTTTCTAACAGCACATTTTGATGCATAGTTATTTTAAACAGCAGTAACCTTGTATTGTGCTAAACGATTTTGCTTACAAACAACATTTGATCTGCATGATTTCTCTGAACTTGCACTCCGATACTTTTGGAAAATGTGGATTGATTTTATTTTAGGAAAAGAATATATAGTGACTCCGACACAGAAGTGCAACACCTTAAACACTGCAATATTTGCAGAATTGGTTGGCATAATCAAATGTAGTAATCATGCCTACCAAATCAAAATAAAGTATTTTGAAGTGATATATATAATTTAGAAAATAAAACTTTACACACCTGAGCATCAACTTTTTCATTTGGATCAAAGCATTATTTTAAGGGGAGGAATATCAGCTTCTGAATTGTACAGATGCATGATTATTTCGCCAGGAGCACAGCCAGGTATGTTGTGCCCAGTGATGGGGTTCAATTTTTTTTACTACTGGTTCGGTGGCCATGGCTTGGTGAGCGTGGCAGGGGAAGGATACCGTAAAAGGTATCAGAGGTGGTATCTGCCAGTTCTCCGAACTACTCAAAATTTCCACTACCGGTTCTCCAGAACTGGTCAGAACCTGCTGAATATACCACCTCTGGTTGTGACCCAATGTTCCCTATAATGCAAAAGAATACTTGCTTGCCCTGCTTCAGCCTCAGGCTTCTCCGGCCTCTCACAGTCTCTCCCACAAGGAAACAATTCCACTTTGCAACTTCCCTAACAAGGCCCCCTTCTCTGATTCATATTCAAATCCATTTGGAAGCATACAGCCAGTTCCTGTGCCCCTTTCTCTTCATCATCCTGAAACTATACAGTTTTGGCTTGGCACAGAGGCCTCTGTGAAGTTACTCTCTCTCCAGCTCTTTGTCATTTTTGTGGCTTTTCTCTGAATTCTGTCCAGCATGTTAATATCTCTCTGGTAAAGAAAAGAGGTAATGTTGCCAGAAAATAAAAATAAAAAGAAATACAGAAACAACAACTTGTGCTGCTGAAACAATATTGCTTTACTTTATACTAGGAAAAGGGGTGGGAAAGCTGTCCGTTCACTCTCTTAGTCTTGTCAAAGTCTTATATAATGCATTACGAAGGAGGACAGCCCAGAAGCACTCTGACCTGGTGAAGGCCTGGCTATGAAGCCCTGAAAGATGATGATAAACAGCAGCTCTTCGGTGGATGTAATTAAAGACATCTGCTCACTGACTATATAACCATCTTCAGATCGTGAATTATGGTTTTTGAAGAGCAATAAGCAACAGTTTACATTATTATAATAAACACGGTAGTTATTAACCATAAAATGTAAAAAAAATAGGTATTGCAAGAAAAACATACTTTTGCTTTTATTGCCTTTTAATAATTTGAACTATTAAAACAATTGATCTCTTCCTAATCCAGATTCCACAATTTATAAGCTCCCCAGACAGCTCTTCATTGAGCTATTCAGCTTTGAATTGTCACCTTCTCTGGATAGAAAGCAGGAAATTCCTTGATTCTTGAAGCTGATGAAAGCAAGTAGCAATGCCTTTTGCTCTAGCTGCTAATCTGATATTTTAAGATCAAAATATATGTGATCGTCTAACTGTGTCTTTTCATGTGCTACATAATTTGTTGTAATTTTTAAAATAAAACCTTTAAACTACAGATTTATCATTGCCTCACTTTGGTATAAATAAGAATAGGAAATTAAAATAGAAAATAGAAATCCCTTCAGATATCTCTTCATTTCGTTTACAGATTTAGATCTTGGTATAGGACCTATGTGGGGTCTATTATGGATATAAAAATAAAGCAGAACTGTTGAGCAACTCAATATTACTCCTGAGAAGTACTACCTTTTCACTATTACCCAAGAGAAATAAACTAACTAGAAACTAACCAAAAACCAAAAATTCCTGGTTTGTCCCGCTCCTTAAAACCCCAAACAAAAATCATAATCTGTTTTTTGATTCTAGATAGCAGATGATAATATATGACTAGTTGTATCATGAATAATAAACACCAAATACTCAGCACATATGATTTACCATTATATTCAACTATTTCTTCTGCTCTGAGATGTTACTCTACAACTTATATAATTGTGAATACACATTTTTAATGGAACATGGGAAACATGTCAACTTTATCTATTTAATTGTTTTTCAACAGCTTTTTTCTAGTGGACTTTCAAAACTAGGTTTTGAGGAGACAGAGGAGACACTTATGTGGATAGAGAGATTTTGATTCTCCTGTTTCATAAAGTCAATACAGTAGAACCTCTGATCACGAACGCTTCTGACCATGACCAAATCAGGTTCTGACCAAAACAATTTTTCCCTGTGGCCGATTTCCCCTTCCGAACCATTTTTTTTGTAAGCGCTAAATTTCCAAAATTAGGTTTTGGTTATGGTTGTGACTATACATAAATTCCTAATGAAATCTGATTGGCAGGAAAAAGGGAATTAATTCTC